GGGCTGTCTGTAGACTTAGCCACAAGAGGAAGGAAGGTATGGAGTGGGGTAGAGAAGGGAGAGGGAGTGGGAGGGAGAAAGGGTTGAAGGTAGAGTAAAGGTGGGTCCCATTCACTTCGCATTGCATTAAATGATAAAAGGACATAAAGTATGTACAAGACAGTGTAGCCCTTTGGGTAAGGTCCTAGACACTAGAGGTGAGTAGAAACAGGACAATTAGTGTAGTGCATATGTAGGATTGCTTATACATAGTTTGGATGATGCAGATGCTCCAATTACATGTGCTGATGAATCGTCGTCCTTGAGAGTCCACATGACAAGATGAGTCCGTTAATTGGGGTGAACGAGGTTAGTACTTCAGAATGTAAAATATTAATCATATTTGTGTTATTTGCTCCCAGTCTAGTAATTTAAATAGCTAGTATTTGTTACTTCATTTATATACTATGGATGAATTCCTATTAATTAATAATAATAATAAGTAAAATGTCAATAACTTGAAGATTTATTGTTTTAACATTCTTTTAATGCTACAAAAAATTATGGTTTCATTGACTAAGTGTAATTTTATTTACTTATCCTACTTAACATTATTAGTCAATTATTGCTATCAGTATAAGCAAGTCCCAAAGTGATTACAGTGAGTGGATTCTACTGTATGTTGAAATAATGCTGAATTGTATGGGTCAGGCATTCTTAACCAGTGTTCAAACACACTCCATGAACTTCTCAAAGATATGCCAAAAAGTTTCAAAAAGTAATTTAGAAAAGCTAAATGTTTTTCTAATTTTTTAATATTTTGTTTACATACACAGCCTAACTTCATTACAACAATACTTCAGGAGACCAGTAATATAGTATTGTTATACTAGGGTTATTGCTGTAGTGAGGTCTTGAAATTTAAGAATTGAGATCATTAAGAAAGTAATGATTAGTTTAAATATTAAATTAATCACTAAAGTTTAAATAATGCTCTCTGATTGGTTCTGAATTATTTATTAATCAGGAAATTGTATTACATTGTTTTGAACTATGTCTTAAAAAAATTGTTATTTTGCTTTGGTTCATTTTTTGCAAGCTATGGTCTACAAATTCTGATCAAACTGTGTCAAGAGCAGCCAGTTGTTTCCAATTCCAGGAATTGTGATTGCCATGTTTCATTTGAGAAATTAACTTCTAAGCTACTGGGGAGTTTACATGGAACTGATTCTTCCTCCTCTTCTTCTACATCTTGGACAACAGTCCCTAATTCTGCCAGAATTGCCTCATCTGTGCAGTGTGGTCAGTGCCTGCAGTTCCTCATAATAAGATTGGCTGAGGTAGTGATTCGTGCCGGCCCGAGGCAAGTTTTAGGATGGAGTGAGATCCTATTTTGGCGCCCGGGTAGAACCTTGCCCATGCACACGACCCACGCGCATCTCAACAGATAAGGCCATTCACATACTGGCCACATACTTGCAATTAAAATATCAAAAAGTGAAAAAAATATTTTTTCCTTTAATTTTCTTTACCACTGAAGCGCCCCCTAGGACTTAGCGCCTGGAGTGGCTGCTCCGTTCACCCTATGGTAGGGTTGGCTCTGGTAGTGATGACAATTGCAATGCTGCCAATTAGCTAAATGTGGACAAACGATTGTGGAGCATGGGGAGGATCCATAGGTAACATGATTAGTGAGTAGGTGCTCCTAGTTCTTCACCACACAGCTCAAACATTGATCAACAACTGGTTGCACCAACATATCCCGATAGTCATATCATTGTATCAGTGTTTTTATTATCATTGTAATGGGTGATAAATAATTGTATTTGTATGGGACTGTAGAAGATCTATCATTGTACTGGGATTTATTGTTGTAATGGATATCATTTTAGAAAGGTTCAACTGTATAAACACAAATAAAATACAAGTTATCGATCTCATGTTTTACTCATGCATCTATTAACCAAACACATTAGTATATAGTACAGTATATTAACAGAAATTCTGTGTATGCTACTTGCTCAGAAAAATTGAAAACTACTGATTTAGGTTGTAACTGTGATTTTTTTGAGACTTGTATTTAATATGCTGATTTCTTACACTAAAAGAATTCTGTTCATTTTCAAGAATTTAAAATATTTTATTCTTTGCATAATTTTTTAACAAATATAATTTTTTTAAAATTAACCTTTTATCTTTACTGACTGACTGTCTTTATCTGAATCTGTTAAATTTAGATAGATCTAGAAAATTAGTTTGAGCTTTTTAAGAAGGTTTAATCACATTTAATATTAGAACAGTTACATTCTTTTTTAATAATATGACAAAAATAAAGTAAATGCTCTTAATAATTTTTATAAATTGTAACTCATTATTTAAAATATATAATATATTCAAGAAAATTATGAGACTAATGATTTTGTGAGAAAGAATTTTTACTGATTTAAAAAGTCTAACTTATTTGTAGTCTTTATAAATGAAAATTTAATGATGTGCTTATGAACAACAACAAAGAAAACAAAGCTATTTATTAAAGAATTTATAAAATTGCATAATTATAATAAAAAAATTTAAACTTTTGCTCTATATGCAATTACTATAATTATAAAATTGCTGAATTATTTAAAGTTTTCTCTCTCGATGTATTTACACTAAAATAAAGTTTTTATATAAATGTGAAGGATGAAATATATTGTAAGTGATTTTATAACAATAATAAATTTGTACATAAGCATTAAATTTTATTTAAATATTTATAAATTTTTAGTAAATCAAAAATTTTTAGTGATTTTCAAACATTAATTTAGAATTTCAAGTAAAACTTTAGTAAAAGTTTTCAAGTAAAAGTTTTTTTTAGCATGGACATTAGAAATGTGATTTCAACTCTAAAAATAGACTCAGAATACATCTATTCTTTTAGTATCCTTGATTTTAAGTAATTCCTATTGAACAATAGAAGTAGAAAACACTATTCTTATTTTATCCTTTAAAAAATGAAAATAAATAGGTTTTTCTCTGATTTATTATAAATTTTGCACTTCCAATTATATTACATTACCTAAATAGTCAAAAGTGTCATATTATTTTTCATATAAAGTTACAACTTGATAATTTTTAGTAAAGTTGTAGATATTTTATATCTGGGTAAAATTAATTCAATCATTATTCTAGGAACAGAACTTATAACAAAAATTGCAAAATTTAACAACAATTTGTATTTATAACTGAAATAAGAAAATATATTTTTGTTCTAATTTTCAAACTCTTCCAAATTTTTTTATTATTTAGTGATTTTAGTATCTAGATTAACCTGAGAATTGATGATAATCATTTTGAGAACTCCTACTATAAATTACACTTTCTGAATATAAATTTTTTAATTTCTTCAGGAATTTATTGTTTCTTGAAGTATTTAAAAAAATTTTTTTGTAACCATTGTAGTTAGTTTTGGAATTTTGAGTTTGATTTTTGAATTTATTGCCCGTCAATGAGACATGCTAAGTTTATATGTAAAGAAAAAGAAAATGAAATATAGTTTGGTTTTAATTATTTGCCATAAATTTATTTCATAATGTCTTACAATCTTTCATAGAAATGAAAAAATTTTTCTCATTATGTAAAGCTTTACTCCATGTTTGATTATTTACTTTTTCAAGATGAGTTTGTTTAGTGGTTTTAGTCATACCATAATTTTGATTATAGATCATGTGCTATGTTGTTTTTCTTATGGCATTATACTTTACTATTTTCCGATAGGAAATAATCATCATCTGTGTATTTGAAGGCGGCTTTATTATGTTACATTTATATTTCCATAATATTGAAGATCTGAATTCATTTCAGTAATGGTACTTATTCTTCAATACATGAAATTTTTTGTTTAAAAAATACTATTTCACTTATCCATTTAGCCTAAATGGAAATTTAGAATGATAAAATTACAAATAATACAAATATTATCAGAAAAACAGTTGATTTTTGAAACAGCGAATAAAATATACTATTATTTTTACTGTATTACTTCTTTATATTTTTTAATTTTTGAATATTAAATACATTGTTTAGAAAAACTGAAATCAGTGTGTTAATCTATTAGTTTACTAATGTTTACTTTTGAATAATTAAAGTAATTTCATATTATTGCAAGATTTATTACTACTATTTCTGATAGTTAGCAATTTTGAAAAATATTTGATTAGTATTATTTGAATTGTATTATTATATATTTTCATTTTATGTCTATTTCACGTATTTATGTGTATTACACGTATAAGTGACAGCATTTGCGATTTCGTACGTTTTGATGGTACATTTTGTTTCATTTTTAACATATTTGCTATTGAAATTCTTTTGAAATCTGAAAATTTAATCATACCTAAAAGTTTAACCATATAAAGTTAATGTTTTTGCTTTGTAGTATCGTTATAAAATATAAGCTTTCAAATAAAATAATTAAAATTCTTTTTTGCGTTGTAATTCTTATATTTTTGTGTGGGAAACGATTTGTAAACTTGATTTCCACGATGAGTTTACTCTTCTCGGCAAACTAGTCATGAATAAGCTATTAATTATTTTTAATTTTAATTTTTCTCGCGAGTTTCTCTTTATCAGTTATTTTTAAATATATTTTTTCATTTTTTTTTGTTTTTAATAAAATTAGTTAAGAACACATACAATAATACAAAAAGCCGCCTTTGTGATCCGCCATTTTGAGAATTAACAGGAAATGTATTGTGTTTACGAGACCACATATATATTTATAATAATGCATTTACTGAAATTTAGATTAATTTCATTTTATTCATTAATTGGGAATCTCTTACAACCACGAGCATGAATTTTCACCATAATTTTAAATAAATATATGTATTTTTAATATATATTTAAAAATTAATTAATCGGGAATGCTTGAATTTTTTTAATTTTTTGAATTTTGCGCCATGTTTTAGATGTGTTAAAAGATTTTTTAAAGCAAAATTATTTACTGTCACCTTTACCTGGAATTTAAAAAAATAAAATTTTACACCAGCAATAAATATTTTGCAAGAATTGACAATCGAAAATATTTATAAAAATATAATAAAATTGATAAAATTAAACATAATAAGTAAGAAATGAAGAATTTAAGGCTTTGATTACAAATTGCACTGATAAATAAGAATGCACCACAATTTGATATTTTCTAAAAAGGAATTTAAAGTGGCATTATATTATTTTCGAACATACGCGGTTCTAATCGCGCTTGCAGCCTCGTGAGAAAGACAAGCAACGTCATTGCTGGTGCTGTGCTACTCTACTCGAGGAAGACAGCCAGACAAACATGGCGGATTGCACTAACATCGTGTTCTTTGTATTGTGCGTCAGTCGTCGGACGGTACAACTACGTCGGGTTAATTTTTATAAGGCATAGTTATTATAATTCGACTAATTGAGTGAATTATTAACGTATTAATAAGAAGTTTTAAGTCGTAAGTAATCTCGATATCATTGTGCAATTATTTAGTCGTCACCGATCTGTCGGAACATTCCTCCATTGAAGGAGAAAATGGCTGTCGTTCCTTTTGACTGTCGCCTGCCATCTTGGGAACTAGTACTATTCCTATATTGTGATTCATTTTTTAGTAGTTGTGCCTAGAATCACAATTTCTTATGAAAATTATATAAGAAGAATTATTATTAACGTAAATTTAAAGTATAAATATCAACATTTGAACTCTTAACAATACCATCTCCAAGATGAACGAGGTTAGTCTTCATTTTCATTCATATTTTAATTAACTTATTTTGCTTAATTATAGTGTTATTTGCTATTTACGATATATTATAAATGGCATTAATCGGGAAATTTCCATTTGGATATAATAAGCGAGCCAAGTCTTTTCTTATAAAGACTTGTTCACTGCTAAGCCTAATTATAATGTATAGTTAACCCAAATAATGATATAAAATATGATTTTAATATTAAATATGAGTAATTAAAAGCGGGAATGATATTTTACAAACTGTATTGGTGATAGATAATTCTGAATCAATTTTATTAAATAGAGTTGTGGCGTCTTCTGTTGGAATTACATGCTACTGATTATGTTTACAAACAAGAAATTGGTCAAATTTATATATTATTGAATTTGTACCAATGTAATTTTGAGGTTAAATGAGTCTCTATACATTTGACTTTCATTTGACCTTGTTAAATTTTCATTTTTAAGGGGACCCATTTTCAATAAAACATCAAATATATTTTCATATCTGGTCTTTATAGTGGCTTATGCATGTACTAGGAACTGAAATGAAATAATTTACAAATAAGTTAGTAAAATATAAAGCATATTAGGAGTTCAGAACAATAATAAAATTGAACACCTAGAAATTAAAACTGTCTAGCATTATTTTATGTTTAAATACATTTTGTAACTGAAATTATATTTATAATGGTTTGTATATATGAGAAAATATGAATACTAGATATTAAGTGAAGGTAGAACAGGGGAATTACTTTGCTTAAGCTGAAATAATAAATGATATCATTTCATTATATATTTTTATTAAAATCTTATTTGTAAATAGGTTTTATTGGTATATAATACATTGTCGACATTCAAAATAAGATGATGACTTAAGATTACAGAAAACACAGAATAAAAAAGTGTATTTGGTATAAATATGACTTTCTTTGCGGTATTATAGATAATTTCAATATTAATTTACTTCTTATTACTTCGTTTTGTCATTTGTTTTCATTTTTCTTATGATTTTATACTAAATGTTTAATAGAATCATTGGTTGAAAATATAGAATTAAATGATACAATCATTATTAATAATAATACGCATTTGAGCATTTTTTATAAAAATAACAATAAATAAGATAGAAAAAATTTGAAACTTTTTTAAATGTTACAAATTCTGAAGAAGAAATCAATTACTTTAATATAAATTTAACATATATAATATTTTATGATTATTTTTTAATGCTTATAATGAAATAATTAAATAACAACTACAGCAGTTTAGAACAAAGAAGTACCTTTATTAAAACATTTTAACATTTTTTCTCTATTATGTCACTTAAAGTTAATATACTAAATTATTCAAGATACAAAATGTTTTAAGTAATATGTTTGAACGATAATTATTTTGTATTTATTATTCATTTCACTAATTATAATTTGAAATTTTGTAATATATGGTAAATTGGTAATTGATATATTTTTATAATTACTGATCCATTGTTTTACAATATACATAAAGAAAAAAAGTAATAATATTGAAGTAACAGTGATGAATATTTTTACAAGAATGTTTCCGAAATAATAATATATGTAAATGTTTTAAGCTTTTGAGTTTTAAAATCAACAATTTTAATCTGGAAATAAATTTAATAATGCACCTCAGTAATGGAGACTTGCTTTTATTTATTGTATTGTGATAATTATTGATTGCTTTACAGTAAAATTTAAGTTTCTAGAAAATTTAAAATGATCTTTATCAATATTTTTTGTAAACTATTTAATAAAAATAAAGTGAAATTTGTTTATGTANTCTTTGGACAGATAGCTTTACATTAAGCAGTTTTGATATCTGGAATTTCCTGTTGCACAAAATAGTTTAACTCATAGGATACTTTTGTAAATTATACAGAATCTTTCATTACAAATTACATGCATCCTGAAATTTTGGTATGGATCTGGGAAAGTATAACATATCTAAAATTTAAACAAAAATTTAAATTTCTCAGTAATGGCATGAACATGTTGTTTTCCCCCTTCCTCTTCACAACAGTTCAAGCTGGGAGAGAGTTTTGATTTAAGTGATCATTATGTTCAGTTTGATTTATTACAACATCATAATATAATTTCATAATAAAATCAAATTAATGTGAATATATATGCAAAACTTTTAAAAATGGATGTCTTTATAAATGTTATGCAAAAGTATGCAATTTATGAAAAATTATGCAAAACATTTTTTTCTATTAGCTAGTATTAATTGTTAATTCTCAATAACAATATTTCTTAAAACTGTATTTACATTTCTACTATATTTTATTTCTAAAACATATGTTTTCTCTAATTGATATTTTAGTTGGTATTTTTGTTATCAATGGGGGAAATTACTTCTTGCAATTAAAAGTTTCGTCTGTATTTGTAATAATAAAGTATAATATTTAATCATGTTCTGGAAAGTAACCAGGAGATACATCAATCAATATGTAAAATATACTTTTGGTTGCTTTACAAATAATCCATGGGTTATTCACAGGAAATTATCATAACACATTTTTTTCTGATTACTTTTGTTCAGCTGTTTTAAATTGAAATCATATTTGGTTTCAAATTTACTAAATTGAATTTCTAATGTTCTGTCAGACATATTCAAAAGAAAGAAAGATCTACTGAAAATAGAAGAAGAATTGTTTTAATTTTATTTGCATAGTTAAAATCTTCATTTATTTTACCAAATAGATATTATATCTAGTTTGTAAATTCTTATGGGTATGATTAATCACTTTTTATTAAAAGGAAGTTTGAGGAATTTAGCTATTTAGATATCTTAGTAAAAGACAATAAGGAAGAATAATTTTTTTACAATTAAAGAAGAATCACAATATGTCTGTAATATTAATGTTGAAAGATTAAAACTGCATTAGTGCCTGTAGTCTTGAATTATAACACTGAAATTATGAGAACAAAATTAAGATAGGAGATTATTAAGAAAAAAGTTAAAATTTTGAAAATGATAGTAGAATTATTGGGTACTGGTCTGTTAACAAGATGCCAACTGATGTGTACAGATTCTAGCTTTGATTGATGGGTTTCACACCATCCAGTAACAAAAGAAATTGTAAATATGAAATAAATACATACATTTGTGTCTAGAGCAAAATAGAATCTAAATTTATCAAATATATAAAAATTAATATTGCAGATATTTATCTGCAGTCATTATTGATACTTCACATTTGTTTACTACTATTTAATCATGAAATAAACTCATTTCATGTTGATTTTGTTATTTTTTCAAGATAAAGTACAGATTCATGCTATATTGTTTAAATTTTTAATAATTTTGTATTTAAATATTTAATTCATAGAGATTTTCCTAATATACTATGTAACCACATAAATTATGGTGAAATCAACATTGTTAACCTGAGATAAAGTAAAATATATTATTATTTTAGAAGTAGATAATAAGTATTCACTCTTATAAAATGTCTTTGTTTCCTGTAACAGGACTATGATAAAATTAACTCTTTCAGGTACTAAATTATTAAAAAGAAAAAATCACACATACACACACACACAAAACCAGTGTTCTGTATTTCATTTATTTTTAAACTGAAGATGCCTTTAAATAAGGTCAAAAACATTATTCAATAGAATTTGGTTTTCAGAACTAAGCAGCAGCTTAATAAAATGCTATTAAAAGAATAAAAGTAGTGTCAGTATTGGAATTGAAAAACCTTTGTATTGTTGAATAACAGCATCTTTTAGATATCTTCAAAATAAATAAGTAGAAATTTTTAAAAAATTTTGCTCATTAAACATGAAAATTATAAATGATGATAAATGAGTGTTTTTGAAGAATTCAAATTATTCATATAGATTGTTATTTTTGATTTGATGAATTATTTATACTTTATAAGAACACATTTTTCTTTTTAGAAAAAAGTTATGTAATATAAAGATCAGAATTAAAATTATTCATTTATTTACTAAATGATTTTGAAAATCAGGTACAGAGCAGAAAATACTAAGTGCTGACATGAAAATATTAAGTTCTGGTATACTTTCACTTTTTGTTTTGGTAATCTTAGTATAATGAAAAAACTTGCAAAACTGATCATTCAATCAGATGAATTAATTTCAGTAACTTGAAAATCAGATTAAAAAAAATAGAGATTTAAATTTATAAAAAACAAAGTCCATTTGCCTTATTAGAGTTATTAAACTTGATAATGAGGTTATTTTATATATCTGAGCATAATGGAGGCTAATCAATAAAATAGTTACTTTTTTAAAAAATTATCTGAATTTTTAAAGAATAAAGAAATTTCTGTTTTGTTAACACTGTTATGAAAATATGCTGACATAATCAAAAATCAAATAAATATAGTAAAGTATAAAATTATTAATAAATTACAAATAATTGATATAAAAATTAAAACATGAATGGATCATTAAACAAAGCTTACTTTTTGGTTTTTGTATCTAACTACTATCAAACATTATTCGTAGAGAGAAAGAGAGGTCCATTTCTAATATTTATCTTCCTAGTAACAAGAATTGAAAAGTTTTTATTGAGGAAACTTTAAATTTTTTGATCATCTCTTACATTTTTTAGATATTGAGAAAGGTCATTCTGAAGTACTAGCTCACTTCTAGTATCTTGACATTTATTCCATAATATTTTTGTATGAAAGATCAGTTATTCTTAATGTTTTCCTAGTGTTTCTATTGTCAAACTAGTGAAATCTTTCTTTGAATCAATCTTCAGTTTCTTTTAATATTACTAAAGATATGCCTGTTACACTTAGTTAAAAAAATTTTAATATTCAGATTTAATATATGATACTTTATACTTTGTCATTGTTTTTTGTTATGTTAGTGTATTACTGTAGTAATCATCAACATAGTAATGGATATTTTAATGTAGCAGTAGCAATAGAATATGAAAATGTTAGTTTGTTCTTTGCTACTTCAAAATTGTAGAAAATTTAATTCTGGATTCTTATGCTTACTG